TACATAGTCGTAACTAATCCATAAAGACTAATCTTTGACATTAATATATGAAAGATATTATCTTGGATTTAAAGAAAAGCTATGTTTTCTTTAAATGATTATCACTAATATCAGGTTTCTTACCACGGTATGACTTCTTTTTATTTTCCCGATATTTAGGAACGGTTGCACGCTCCATGGTTACGGGTTGACTGGACGGCGGCAGACGACAGCTTTAAGAGAAGACATATCTGTCTACTCTCTTGCGCTGTCGACGACTACCTTCATCGCGATTTGTTGTGGCGTTACCAATGTCACTCACTTTTTTCACACAAAACCACACTCACTGTATTCTGAACTCGAGGTGTTTTTGTTTTTATTACTGCACGCACTAAGGATCGGATTCCATGCACGGGACAGTTTAAAACCATCATCACGGTTAAATGTTTGGTACTTCGTGATCTCGATGGCTTCTCGTACCAACCGTGGTATGTAGTGACGTTCTGTTGAGAGTACCTGGGGGCTATGCAACTCGATCCAGTAGTTATTGTTAGTCTGTGTGAGATGTTGTGCTATAGCCGACTTCTGTGCATCATTGTTTTTTATTGCTTGGATGTGTTCCTTCATACGATCGACAATTGTTCGTTTAGTCTGACCGATATACGAGCTCCCACACTGCAGTTCACTTTATAGACACCCGGTGTTTGTAAAGGTGGTCTTTTGGTGAACGTAACATTTTTCCTATTTTGGTTAAGGGGGTGAAAACAATTTTTATGGAAAACTTCCTTAGTAACCTGGCTATTTTATCTGTCACCCCTTGTACATAAGGCCGAAAAACTTGTAGGCTCTGTACGTCAATTTGCTTCTTCCTTTTGTGTATTGGTTTACATGTTTTTATTTCGTATCCATTTTGTCTCAAAACCGTCTTAACGTGCTCCTGTTCCTGTGGCAGGTGGTGTGCATCACAAAGATTATAAGCTCTATTGGTTAATGACCTGACGACCGAATGTAGGTGTTTCGGGTGATGATATGAAGTAGCATGTAAATATTTGTCCGTGTGAGTTGGTTTTCTGTACACAGAATGACCGAGTGAACCGTCTTGTCGGACTTTGACCAATACATCCAAAAATGCAAGCGCGCGATTTACGAAAGTCTTAAAATCTATATAGAAAACACAGCATTAAAAATGGCACGATTTAATTCCGCCTGTCCTTTTCCACCATCGAGTGACTATAATATTGGGTTTCATCCCTATGTTGTGGATATGCCAAGGATTCGCACGAAGCTTTTCGCTTCCATATTCCGAGAGTGAATAGGCACTATTTAGGTGTGTATACTATATCAGGACCTTACGAATTTTTCTATGTGCATGTTGCAGATCTTTGTTTTGGTTTTTTAACGACTTTTTTGCCGAATGCAGCCGGATCGATGGATTTATTTCTAAATGTTCTGTTCTGTCTGTCTGTTAATAATAATCTGTTTAGTAATAATTATAACAAACTAGTGGAGTAATTTCACTAAAAATAATTGAATAATATTTTGGTGAAACATCCTGGCATTTAACAAACTTAAGTGAATGTTTTAGTGTATTCTGCTGCACTGCACAATAATATCAACTTTACTACATTACATTAATCTTTAAAATCAGTGAAAGAACACGCATAAACAGTAGCAACGTAATTTATAGAAGAAAACCCAAATCAAGGTACGAACTTATTTATTGGACAATAAAACTTTAATTCTAGTAATTTGCATTGAAAGATAAATCGCGTGAAAACGTATTTGCACTAAAACGTTTATTTATTGTGCACTTTATTTTAACAAAACTTTACCTTACATAATAAGTAGTTACCTAACGTAGTATACAAAACAGAAAATAAATAACATGAATGTTAGTTATTACTAGAGTGGAAACAGCAGCGCCCAACTAGGCCATCCAAAATTGATCTGTATCGCAAACAATACGTTAGCGAATATGCATAAATTTAAAGTTTCCCTGCGTGCTGGTCGCATGCAAAATATGCTGTTCATAATGCCTGCAACTTGAAGCTCAGGGTGAATACTGTAATTTCCCGAATACGCCTTTAGAAACTAGCATGATAGCTGCTATTGAACGTAAATCATGAAATTGGTTCTTGTGCGCTACCCATATATCTGATTTGATTGCAGCGCTTAAGTCCACTGGTGTCATTAAGTTCAATTTTGCAATACCATTCCGGTAATGTATCAAACTTTACATTCTTTAGAAATACTTTGGAATATCGACATAAATAAATTGTTGAAAGGTGACGTTTCTAGTCACCTTTTTTCACCAGGTGTAAGTGCATTATTCTGAAAATGCAGCACCGTTTATTAGAAAGTGTGTAAGTTATTGACTACAAAGGATAGTTGCACTGTAGCATGTACCCATAGAGCACAAGATACCTTGACAAATGCGGGGTGGTGTTGCAAGGAACAATAACCGCAAATTGCCGCCTGCGGGTTGTACCTATACGTACAGGTACACGTGAGCAAATTTTACGTCCGTTCAACAATACTCTATCACTTTCACTGGATTTTACTACCTTTGAAGATTACCTGGTTGCCTGTAGGTTTATGTTTTTTAGACACGACGCGTGGCGTAGATGCAATAAAAGTTCAAGTGACAATGTTCGACGACCACATTATAAAATATTTACAAGTAACACAAATGACTGTAAAGGCTGACTGAAGAAAAACTTTCATAGATTTCTCACAGATGGTGCTACGGCAAAAAGTCGTTTAAAACCAAAAACAAAAATCTGCAACAATAACGCAGAAAAATCCGTAAGGTCTGCTGGTTCGTTTCGTATCGTAGTTAGGAGAGCGTCATGCACGGTATGCTGAAGGCGCTGGTTCGAATCCAGCCGGACGAAGGAGTTTTCTTAATGTTTGAATCTTTGTATTAATAATTATAACAAGCCAGTGGAGTAATTTCACAAAAAATTATTAAATATCGTGGTAATAAAACATCGTGATACTCATAAAATTTAATATTAGAAACGACTCGTAAAAAACTAAAACGAATAATAATGATTTGTTTGATGTATTAGCAGTAGTAATGAATTTGACTAAAATGTTCATAGTATATTATAACGTTAATCAGTAAACTTAACACCAAAAAATTACATCACTTGGTGCCTTGTTTTGTACAATAAAAACAAAACAAACCATATGTTCCATCTGGACTATTTATAACTACGAGAAAAACGATTCACCCACTTCAATTTGTAAGTTGTTCTGTACTTAAAAAGTACAACGTATTATTGAAAATTTTATTCTCCTGTGCAAAACTCTACTAACATAAATTCAGCTGGCAGTGGGAGTAACTTGGTTTCTATTTAGCAGATTAGAAAAGCTAAAAGCACAATAATGTCTATGAGATTATGCTGTAGAGGAGCTAAGCTACGATACGAACACTTTGTAAACACAATAGCTTTAAATCCAATCTTTTTACGATTTAATTTAAGATAAGTATGCAAAACTAGTCTTTAAATGATATATATAGATTTGTGTAATTATAATGCGTACTACCTACCTACCTACTTACAATTCTGAGAAGTCATAATAACATAGAATTTTAATGAGACATTTGTGAACTCCGTAAGCTCACAAATTATGGGTGAATGTGGGGACTATAGCATAATATTATCTTAATTTATAGATACGTATAAAAGGATGAAGATAAATGGAAACCTACTTAATAAAACACAATGTTATCTTGTGTGCTTCGTAGCGTGTTTATAATTAAATATTTGATTACTAAACATTTATGGACTACCTTCGATTTCTATGCCAGTTAAAAGGATCAAATAGTATTTTTGCGGAATTTTAGCAATAAAATATTGATATTGATTATATAATAAGGTGCGATGCCAAACTTTGGGCAAGGTAAAAAATCGCGTAATATATTACAGTACAAGGTCGATATGTCATTTGAATGTTTCTAGTTCGTAAGTGACGGAGGCTTCTAACTTTAGATTCAATTTCGGTGTCTTAGTATTTCTTGTTTCGAAGCCGGATTTAGTGTTTAATGAAGAGTTTCAATTGTTTTGTATTATTATGTTTGTCTAACGATAATTTTGTTAAGTTAATACGGCTAATAGACTTTAAATGCATATCGTTGGTGTTTTGTAGAAAGTAAGTGTCATTTCGAAACATTTTTCACGAGTGCATATTTTAGGTTTGAACAACTGTTTTAAAATATTTACGTCCTGTTTTAAATGTAATTTCAAATCTTAAACTTCATTAAATCCAAAATTTAATTTACAAAAAGCCGTTTAAACCTAAAATCTCCCCTAAATATTTTTGAAAATGGAGCTACTACAAGTGCTACTTACAATCTTTTGAAAGATGTAAATTCAATGTTAAGATTGCGCACCGGATACGTTCCACTAAATGCTTTCGGTCACTTGATGAGGGTAGTAGACTCCCCAAATTGTACTATAATACCAGAGAAGATACTTGTCACGTTTTAGTGGAATGTAGCCGGACCGGAGCGGAACGACTTGAATTAGAGGCTGAAATCAGATAAAGAGATGTTGGTATTTGCAATTCCATAGTTTAAAAGTCCAATATATTCTGATCGGTAAAAGCTTGGTTTTAAATAAAGATAGATAATTTTAACAAAGGATAAATTTGTACCGCTTGGGCTGTCATTATCCTAAAACGAAAAGCCCTTTTTTGCTTAACAAGAAAAAAGTTCTTCTGTTGTACCATGTAGAGATTTCTACACAGAAACATTTTGAATCTCCTCACCAAAAAATGTGTTGTAAAGCAATATTGTTATGTTCACGCTTTTTCCCTTCAACACAGACGTCAATAAAAGTAACTCACATTTATTTTTCCAAACTAACAACCCAAGTAAATAAATGGGAAGCCGAATAGGTATCATAGGTCAATAAAAGTAATATAGAGGGTCGGGGTTGCCCGGGAGAGCACTTGACCTACTTACGGGGAAATATTGTATGAAGGTGTACTACTTGCGTATGTATTTGTTGCAGGTGTCTGGTGCGGTGAGATTCGACACGGCCCCTCTTCATGTCCAGCCCCAGAATGCAGTAAGTGCTTTTATTAACATAAGGTCGTAAAGTTATTTAGTATTTCATAAAAATAAAAGTAAGTACTCAAAGTTCAGGACACGGTGGTCCTTATGAATTTTGATAGTCTTTAAGGTTTATTCTTTCTTCCTATACCAATAACTACCAACATACTAAGAAAAGATGTACGTACACAGGCACAAAGTACACTAAATAGCTTGGGATCCCGATAATAAGTAAAATTATACTAAACTAATAAACCACTCATTCTTTATCCATAAATTTCACAACACTAATTAACATAAAACAAAACCTTATCACCCCTAATGAAACTTTATAATCCATCACATAAAAACCGTATTGCGTAAAATTAACCAACCCATTTATGGTAACGTAAAAGTCTTGTACCCTATAATTGAAGGAAATATGCAATATAAATGAATTTATGACGATATTCGGAGGCACCTTCAAAGGGCTTGTCGGAGTTGTCGATCGTTAACGTTTCATATTCGGGCTTGTGAGGAGCGCGAGGTGCGGGACCTTTAGTATTTTCATGGGACGAGCTGCAATATAAAGGGCTTTTTGCAGCTGGAAATTGCTGATTTTAGTTCCCATTACGATTATTATTATAGGAGTTAGAGGAAAGTGGCACGATCGACCGGCGACGGGTCAAAACGTGGCTCACGGCATGTCGTCGATTTAATTTTCACACCATTCCGCTGATTTTCAGGTCGGGGTCGGGGAAGCCACTCGGCAGTTTGCAGTGTTCGCTACAGCGCCTTATAAGGTTAACTGCTAGTAACTTCTAAGGTAGTTTAGATACACTCTGGTTACACGTAGTAAAGATGGACCTTGTTCGAGTATTTTACGATGTGTAATGAGGCATTATTGAAGTAACGTTCGTATTGTGATGAGAATTACTATTATTATTTGTTTTTTCAAACAAACCAACGTTTCGGTCCTTTTACATAATGCATGGTCACAGTTAATAAAAAGAAACAAATTAGGCGCATATTTGCTTTTTTTATAACAAATATCTATAGCGGAGTTTCGAAATTCGAAATGGCCGCTGTAAATGTACAACTTCCCGCGAAAAAATGTCAGAAAATTAAACTATATTTTAATTAAAAATTACTATCTAAGATCTAATCTAATCTGGCAGTATGTCCAATTAGACGCAAATTTATCATACTGACAGATTGTCCCGCAATTACTACAATAAATATTGCGTATTGTTTTTTTTTATCCTATTTAGATCCGAAAAAATAGTGTCATTCCCAATTGCCGAAAACCTGAGCACTTGTTATTCTTAGTGACATTTAAAATTTTGAGAATAAGAGAAATTTAGATAGTGTTGTGCTATATAACATTTATAAGTACATTGAAACCTTAGCTTAATTTTAGTAACACCGTAACTCTCTCACAGCACTCCATACTTGTGTTGTGTATTGAGCAAGGATTTAGAAAGTGCTAACGACAACCCAAACATTAACAGGTTAAGCGCTACATTCCCGACTCTACTCGGCGCTTCCTGCTTTGCTTTACCGGAATGTCTGCACTATTTACCATGCCGTTTTAGGTGCGTTACCTTTTAGTACGGAGAATCTCATACCAGAAATCTTCCACAATTCGTAGCTTGGTACAAAAATATTGTTTGTGCTTTTCAGATAAACCACAGATTTATTCAGAACCACAGTTCTATATACAAAACATTACAATACCAAGCATACAAAAAAATATACCAAGTAGATAAAAATTACGTCTTTTTTTATATAATTGCCTAATGATTTGACCTACCGCCTCTCAAGATCTAATCACACCTCGATTTTTTTTTAATTTATGTGCGAAATTTAATTTGAAATTTACCATGAGCTTCTCGGTGAAGAAAACATCGTAATGAAAACTGCGTGTTGAAGAAGGTTCACAGCCTTCAGAAAACGTATGAAGTCTCCCTCGACTGAGAGGAGACCCGTACCCGGCAGTGCGACATGTAAACGGGTTGATGATACCAAGCGTACATATATTTTTTTGTAAAAGGGTGTGAACAGCAAATTCTCATATATATTACCACCATTTATATCGTCCAATTGGAAACCACTTATCCCGTTATTTGTGATAATAATTTACAAGTGAAATAAACGACTGAGGTTGGCCTGGGGCCCCCTCGCGCAATCAATTACACTTTATAGCTACAATGAAATATTCGCGAAGGCTGCACAAATGTCACCCGTCACTGACGCATGCTAATCGTAAGGACAGATTATATTCTACTATTGAGGCTTTTGCTATTGCTTGGTATTGCCGCAACTACATTCTGCATCTCAAATAGCTGCATAATTTATTTATTATAATATTTGATTTCAAAACTTCAGTATTCTGACATACATGAATTACGATATCCGTCATTTCAATTCACATTTTACACGCCACATATTGTTATCTAAACAATTGAGTGAATATCTACTCAATCACAAATGTGTTGTGGATATGTAAGCATACAGCACGCACAATCCATATAATTGACACAAATGTCAAACTTAGATCAACTAGCAGCCAATTTTAGAACAATGTTTATGGCAACAACGGATACTGCATGCATTGCTAATGCAGCATTGGTGTTCGTGCGCAGCGCACAACACTGCTCAAAAGGAAACGTAATTTGATACCCGTCTTATTGTCAATGGTGATGATATAATTGTAATAAAAAGACACTACCAAAAAATTCTTAAGCTTCCAATAACTATAAAGAGCAATATAAATGCCTATGCGTGGTTTGTAATGTAACGAAGCGAATGCCACTCTTTTTGTAATATAGCCCGACGGGGTAAAACCATTTGCCGAATTATAAGGGTGTTGATAGTGATTAATGAGCACAAATATTGAAGCGGTTGGTGATGTCTCGCGGTGTGAAGGTGACGAGACGCACCGGCGGCCACATTTGGCCGCGCGGGCAGTGTGCGTCGGGCGCGCGGGCCGACCGCACACTACACAATCCACCCACGGTCGTGCGCCGCCGCTGTTGCGAGAACGGCTTCGTTTGTGCTCGCTACATACCGCCAAAATTTAAGTTTCCTTGGTTTTCCTTAAAACCAAGTGTAACTTACGCAATTATTGAGTGTCAACAGTTGTTTTTGTATGCAAAAGACAGATTTGTTTGAACTACTTTGTGTTGCACATTAAAAAAACCTGAAAAGGGGTGAAGTGTCATAGTTTGTAAAGAAATAATGACCTGCATATCCGTGTGAGAGAAGTGGCGATATTTCCGCAGCGCCGGCGGCGACCACGGCTCAAAAATGAAGTTGTTCAAGAGGAGGCTGTCGTTCAGCGGAGATAAACAGAAACGAGTTTCCCACACAAACGATCCCTTTGAACACGAGGTACTGCGGCCTACACCTTCGAACAATATCGACCTGCTCTACAATATCCCAAGAGTACACTTTCTACTCACTTTAAAAGTTATTAACTAATTCATATGTTATACAAGTTGTGTCAGAATTCTTGTAATCTTTTATTTATTGGTTTAATCTTTTACGCGATTTCGAATATCATTATATATGTACCTATGTAATAAATAGTGATCGTTAAAATTAAATAGTCCTTGTTAACAAGCCGTTTTTAACAAGGTTTGTTTTTCTCACAAAGTACTTCGAAGTTAGGTTTCGGAACGTCGGCGTCAGCTGATAAGCCTTAATAAAGTAGATTTGTTATTCTAAAACAGCCTAGCTGCTCGCCGCGCTAAGTAAATTGAAAGACAAGAAGGTTATCTTATCAGAGTACCGCGTATAGCCGCAACACACACGCTGTCCACTTGGATTCGATTCTGAGAATTAATATTGCTGCTACTGTTTGGCACCCCATCCTATTATATAAATACTTTCATTGTGTGTTTACCGTACTCACAATTCTATATACAGAGGAATCGTTTTATGAATTTAATATCACTGATAAGCGAACAAACGTATTGCAAATTGTTTACGCAGATGTTTTTTAAATGTGCGTCAATGCCAAATAATCTTATGATCTCCTCGTTCAACTTTGTACAACTGAAGGTAGATATATTATTCGTTTACATTTTAAGACATGGAAGCTTTTATGTTTCTAAGATAGTATCACGAAAGACTGGCGACATAAAAGGATGTAAGAAATCCGTCGAGTAGCGAAATCGTGTAGCAGAACGGAGCTATCTTAACACGTAATCGGGCTGCTAATGCTCGCTGACCGATTGGCCTTGCCCCTCGTTTGCTTACCCATGTATAAACTGTATTATATTTATGTTTCCTTTTCGTATAAGGGGTGTTTTGATAGGATATGCTTTAATGGATTATTTTACATATTCATAAACAAGTACACGATTTAAAAAAATCTAATCTCAATATTAAATTTAATAAGCTCTTTCGTCACTTCTTGTTGAAAAAATCTTCTACGAATTCGTATAAGTTTATAACAAAAGTCTATTCGTATTCATGAATGAGGTGAATCGAGTGCCTGAAAACGAGTACCTGCCTATAAATACCCTGTAATACACAAGACAGTATATACTAGTTACATAACATCTACAGACAACACGAATAATGACGTGCAATAAAAGGCGTGACATGTATACACATACCTGTATCGCTAAGATCTGCGTTCAAACTTTTAGTAGATAACATCGAAAAGGTAGTTCTTATTTAAAAACGACAAATTCAATTCACGCAACAAGGACTTTGTTTGAAACGGTTTCCACATGAATAAGACCCTAGTTTCTAAACTACATAACCCTGCATTTTGTATAAATTGATGTAATAAAGGAGAAAAGCTTAAAGATTCTGCGAACAAAATTTGTTGATAACATTTTATGCTTAAATAGAAGAGTTGTAAAATTTGTCATATACATAATGTGTTGTTCTGTAGTTCGTATTATTTTTATGACTTTACATAAATACATATACTTCACGCCTTTTTCCCATCGGGGTAAGCAGAGACAAGTCTTCCATTTGCTACGGTCCTGACACACATAATTCGCCACATCAACACACATCAGTGCTATCATACACGTCGTCGGTTAAGGATACTCTTGACCTGGCCCTTCTTTAGGATGGCCTCAATTTGGTCATGGTAAGTTTGCCTTGGTCGACTCTTACCAACTTGCCCGCTCATACTCGACTTATAAATCTGTATCGTCAATCTTCTTTCATTCATTCTCTCTACATGACCGACCCACCTAAGCATCGCTTTCTCTATCTTTGTTACTACATCTTCTTCCACGCCGCAAATGCTCTCTTATCACACTATGTCATGATTTATCCATCAGAGTCACTCCAGCCTCACTTCTCAAAGCTTTCATTTCTACTACATTAATTCACATTTAGTGGAAGCACTTAGACGAAGAAGCAGAAGAAGTTCTGCCAACATTTGCTTTATGACCTTCACGTGATAAAACAATTTTTATGTACGATCACATGTGGCTTTGTTTACCATGGGTACGATAAGTATCTAATCTATGTAGTAAACTTTTGTCTCTTTCGGTTTGTTTGGTTGATGCATATTTATATAACCTTTTCGCGATGCATATACACGTAAATCTATTCTTTTTATGTAAATATGTCACCATTTTCATTACATTCCGTAATTATATACGCTTTTAAAAGGTTTCAATGGTAAGAAGTATAAAATTACCAAATTACTCTTTCTGTTTACACGAAAGAGTTCTGTTAAAACCTTATGCACATAACAAACTCGTTCTAAACTGCACATGAGTAGGTGTTAACATCAATACGATTCTTACTCTCTCTAATAGATTTCACC